AAAGGTGAGACGTCGCCAAGAGATGCGCAAAGGGAAGGAGCAAAACGACAGATCGTGACTCCTGCTGGCATCAGCCCTTAGATGTTATGATGTAGAGTTTCCCTATACAGCTCAGCTTCCCACCATTACATGCAGCAAAAGCTCTGCTCCCTGCTGAATTATGCATACTAGTGCAGGAGGAGGGAGCTGTTGAGTTGGAGGGGGGGAAAAAAAAAGAAAGAAAAAGAAAAAGAGACATTGAGAGAATTGCAGGAACAAAACAGGTGTACCTATTACAAAGACAGCAGAACGCAGCAGTTTCCTGGAAGATGACGTAAGCAAATGTGTGCCAGCAGGAAGGGAAGCGGTCTATGGAATATGACACTCCATCTACGTCTTTCACAAATACAAAGACTGTGATGGGAAAACATGTTTACAGAAAATACCAAAGAGCCTCATCCAAATTCAGACCACAAAGTTCAGGTTGAAACCAGAACACGAGCCTTATATGTGCTTTCATTTTTAGCCATTTTGATTATTCAAATTAGTGAGAGAAGCAACCTTGTAATGGAAGTGTGGTCTGTTTTAGGCTTTGGAGATGAAATTTAGAAAACGTTACATTTGTGGATTTTCAGAATTTGAGGTTTTTTTTTTTTTTTTTTTCAGTTTTTTAGCCCCAGTTTGTGACAGTTTGTTTTCGGTGTATTCTTACTTTGTCGTGAGGACATGTTAGTATTTACTTCGTTCCTCGGTGTCTTCGCTTTCCGTTTTGATTTGAACATCGGTCAGGACAAAAGGATCTGCAGACTAGGACCCTGGATGCAGCGACTGATCACATACATCACCTGCAGATGTTTCATCATGACTGTACCAGGAATTTGTCCACATTTTGTTTCAAAATAACAAATAACCGCACTGTAATTAGCGCAACTAACTAGCTTGGTTTTTCACAGCTAATTGTAATTATCAGTCTAACTGTGTAATTCCTTGACACAAATGTAGACCCAGTTGTCTCGACACGTGGCAGAAAATAGTTTCTTTTAATAGTTGCCTCTCGCATCTCGGCGATGCTGAAAATAGCAACGTCTGATTTCTCTTCCTTCAGCAACATCCACTTCAAAGAGTGAAACGCTGACTTCACCTTCTGGGACATTTTAATAATGAAAAAGAGAACATAAAATAATTTAAATATCTTCTCTTAACCTAAGTCATGTTGAGCAGATGAGACGAAAAGGGCATATCTGAACTGCTGAGTGTTTTCTTCTTCTGCTGCCATCGCAGATTGATACCATCTGATAAGTAATAATAATGATTTTTAAGTATTATTATTGTTGGACAGTGTAATCCAGGCTCGCTTTTAGTAGTATTTTTAAAACCAATTTTTGTTTACTTTTTGTCCTTTTTCAGGGAGATTTTGTAGAATCAGTCAAGATATTTATAAATTAGAGGGGTGCAATATATTAAATAGCATTCATCATCATCATCATCATCATAATATTCATGGGGGTGCAATGTTGGAAAGGTCTGGTCGGATGCAATATCTGGTGGGCTATTATGTTTCACGTGTCGTGCATTTTAATTCTGCTTGCCAATAAAACATCTGTGCACTAGGATTGACTTTCATTGTCCTCATTTCATGTACATCTCACTTCCTGAGCTAAGAAAGTCAAGAAGGGATATTCAATTTTTGGAAAGAAAAAAAAATAGCATTTAGGAAAGTTTAGCTTTATCAAATTAAAGATTGTTGTCACAATATTCATTAATAATAATTCATTTTCCTAATTCCCTAATATTGTGTAGGAGCTTGTTTGGATAACTCCTCTCGTTCGAGAAGGTAATGCAGCAGCACTTCTCTGCGATTTCTTTCACTTGAATATGTCCAGCATGTTTTTCTGGACTCCTATAATCCTGTTAAAGTAGTTATTTGGCTTGCACCAGTAATGGGCAAGAAATGTAATCTATTTTGACAATGAAACCACTGGCAATAAATCAAAAATGCTCAACTGTGCATCCACACGCATGAGAACAGACCGGATTATTAAGTTTGCAGATGAATCCACAGGAGTGGAAATGATGAATCACTGTACATGGAGGAAAGTAGATACCTGTTGCAGAAAACGACATCACGTTGTTTAGTGTATGTGTGTGTGTGTGTGTGTGTGTGTGTGTAGGGGGGGAGAAAGGAGCTAGTCAGTGACCTCTTAAGTTCATGACATAAAAAAATAGACTCCCGGCATCGCTGACCTTGTAGGAAAGACAGTGGACGACACTTAATACTCTGAAGATCTCAGCTGGTCAAAGTGCAGCACTTGACTCAGCAGAGACTACACTTTCTGAGCGAACCGACACAAGCATCAACTCCCTGCCCGCCTCTTCACAAAACTCTGCAGACCGGAGGGGAAAACGACAAACGGGTCCCTGCAGAGGATAACGAGAGGAAGCCGTTGAGTGTCGTTGGCATGCCCCGACCATCGGGATCCATTTGAAAGCCGGAAATCATCAGAGACTCCTCACGCCCTCTTCATAACGACTGTGATTTGCTTCCGTTGGGTAAACAGCGGTGCAACAACAAAACCAGAACCACCAGACTGCTGCGCAGCTGCCTGTCTGAGGCTTAAGTTTTGGTATTTTATATTACTCCACTAATTTTATGTCTTTCTTTTTTGTGTTGCGTTGTTATTACTTTGAGTTTTATCTCGTTTTAGTGAACTGCTGCACAGTGGCGCAGTTGGTAGCACTGTTGCCTTGCAGTGTGGTACATAGCATCTGCATCTCCAACACAGACAAACAGGTCTTTGTTTTAAAGTTAGAGCAGCAAACTGTTTTCTTAGCATGTGGCAGAAAAAAATACCGCGTGTCACATAAGTGGGTGAAACGGAGAGCGACGCTGCAGTCACCTTAGCTGCCTGATGGACAGATGAGAGTCACCGAGAAAGAGACGCAAATGAAAAGGCAGAAGCTTTAAAAGCTTTAGAAGGGATTTGTATCCAGTAAGCCCCACATAGGATTAAACCATGTTAGTGCAATGCCTACATGCAGCAGGAAGAGTGCACATACCAACACACAGGGAACGCACAGATGGCGGCATGTGCACCAAACGACAGGAGTAAGCTCGTATACAGAATGACAGTGCAATGATACGTCAACAAAATGCTGTGGTTCTGAGGTATCTTGCAGAGATGGGTTTTAACCACTAGCTTGTTACCAATGTGTTTATGTGTAAGTGAGAAATTGCTCTTTTATAAATGTAAAAAAAAAAAAATCCATAAATAAAACAAATAATGCATGAATGCTATTTAAATCTTTAAACTTTTTGTGGCAAGAAAGCACTTGCGTAAGGCACGTATATCCTCAAAATGCAACATCTTCTGGATTTAAAAAAAAAAACAGAGAAAAGAAATGACCACACGGTTAGTTCAAAGCAGTCTTCCCAGCAGTGACTCTCACTAAGAAAAGAGATTTCGGGTTGAACGAAGTCGATGAGATCATAGCTACCGGCACATCACGGCTGCCTGACATTAAGTATTGAATAACTTTCAAGCTGCGAAAAAAACAACAGCAAAAAAAAAAAAACAGCACACAGACTAAAATCTAATAAACAGCATCAATATGGAAACTCCCAGTGGCCATAACAGTGGAGAGGTATTTCTCTAAGGAAGAAAGCTGAAGACATTAAAGTATGTATTCACAGTAAACCAGTCTCAGTTTAACAGTGCAAATAAAAGTCATGCCTCACCTTTGCTGAATAATACCTCTGTCATTTGACTTTTCTTCCCCCACACACACATATAAACAGTTTTTGTGCAAAACTACGGGCCTGTACAGAGGCAATGCATAACTACTGATTAATAATAGACTGCATGATCAAGTCTATATTAATTTCATTAAGTGAAGCGCTGTGAATACTTGTCAGATGCACTGTACATGATATCGTTAGCTTAGCTCGTCGACAGCATGTGCTCAGCTGTTTATCCACGCTGTATTTCTAAATGCTACTTTTTAAATACACCCAGGTTATAACGGACAGTAGCGTTTCAACATTTCACCTTTGCTTTCAGTCGTGCTTGATGAATGAATCGCTGGTTTCTGTGTGCAAGAAGCATCTCAGAAAAGCAAAGAGAAGAAGGAAAAAAAAGAAAATCATTAATGCAACCACTGTGAAAAGAATATCGATTTGTTTCTTTGAAAAGAAAATCCAAGCAGGATCCATCAATGTCATTGCAAATTTAAAAGTGTTATATATATATATGTAGTTGCACATCTCATTTTTTTCCTACACTTTCAAAGAACGAAAGAAGCAACTTTACCTATTTGACTCTACTTTATTTTCAGTCGCCACAATCTTTTCCATCTCTTGGATTTTTTTCTCCTCCCCTCATCTCTACATCTTTGGTGGGCGTGCTGCATCCGAAGTATTTTCTCCACATTGTGAGTGACAGCCTGCCCCTATAGATAGTGTCTCAGCTGAGATTTGTGCTTATTATGAAATTAATCCAGTGTGAAAATCACGAGCCCCCTCGGAGCGCTGCGACCGCGTTCCATCGTCTCTCTCTGCCTGCGGCCGACGCTGTGCACGCATCTGCATGACAAAACATGCTCCTTCATCCATGCCGCGACAACACAACGCTAATAAACCTACTACGTTCATCTCACACTTGGTGTTCGTCTTGAAGATAGGCTGACATTTCTATTCTGGTCAGTTTTTGGCCTTAGCAAACACAAGCCCCCTGGGATTTCATGGCCCGCACAAAGGACAGCTAGCCGTGCCTCCCACAGAGTCATACTTTTTGTTTGTCTTTTTGTTTGACGGCCACATTCAACCCATCTGCCTTCAGGATTTATCGCTGTTCAGAGTAGACAAGGTCAAGGCAAGGAGTTGGCTTCTGCAGCTTGTGAGCCGAGTCTTTTGGCAGCTCAGACGCTTCCATGCATTTAACAACAAAGTGAAGCTACAGCTAAACATGGTGCCAAATGAACACAGGTCATCAGTCTCCTAATGGCAGGAAGAAGGACAAATGTACCTTCTTAGAGCAGACTAGGACTTTCTTACTGAGGCGACGGAGCAGCAGGTTTACTGGTGGGAAGTCCTGCAAAAAAAAAAAAAAAAAAAAAGAGAGATCTTATCAGCTCCAAACATTAAGTGTTTTCCCTCTGCTATAACACAAACAACCACGACTGACATTCCAAATGTGTTAGTTGTGATGCTTGCAAATGTATACATGCTGCTTTTTTCACACTTTGTATCCTTACAACCACAACATGTATGTTCATATGTGTATTTTTTATTTATTTATGTTTTACTTTAAACAATAGACCAACACAAATTAGAGCATAGTTGAGAAGTGGGAGGAAAAAGATCAATTGTTTTAAAGGTTTAAAAAAAAAAAAAAAAAAAAAAAAAAAGTGTGCCACGCATTTGTGTTTAACCACTTTTACTTCGATACCCCAAAATACCATCAAGGGCAACAAAGTGCCTCTGACATCACCTGATGATAAAATAGGATCCACCTGCGTATAATTTATTCTCAGTATAAATCCAGCTGTTCCATGAAGGCCTTTGAGGTTTGCTAGAGAAAATTGGTGAACAAAGAGCCTCATTAAGTCAAGAAACAAAGCAGAAAGATCAGGGGAAAAGTTGTGGAGATGCATAAAGTGGGTTTAGGTTACAAAACAAAATCCCTGACTCTGAACATCTTGTGAAGCACTCTTTAATCTATCATCCGAAAACGAATGTACTATGGCGTCGCTTTAAACCAGCCAAGACGTGTCCACGCACAGAATGGAAAGTTAAGGATTAGGCGAGCTTTAGTCACAGAAGCACCAAAAAGAGCCACAGTAACCCTGGAGGAGCTGCTGACATCCAAAGCTCAGGTGGGAGAATCTGTCGACAAAGCTTGTGTTTGTAACAAAACGTAAAAATAGTTCAAGGGTGAGGAATACGTTTGAAAGGCAATGTGTTTCAAAGTGAGCAAAACGGAAGAACTAATTGCTTTCACTGCTGAATTGAAAGAACAGAGTGAGCTAATTCGTGTTTGAAAATGGAAAGTTGTTTCATCTGATTGTACAGACAAGCGAAGTTATTCGACTTCCAAAAGATGGTCCTCAAGATAGTCGTTTGGAGATGTGTCTCACCGTCTTCATTACTCCCTATTGTCTCGACGGGAGCTTTATTTGTTTGCAACATCAATTAAATTTTGGAGACAGCAAATTGTCATATCTTTACAGATAAAGGATTCTAATTAAAAACCAGAGATGAGATTAGAAAAAATGCTTCCAGAGGCAGTAGCTCTCCAGACAACAACGCTGTACAGCAGTCAAGCGGAAGCCTTTTTTCCCCCTATTGCATAATGTGACTTTTACATATCATCGTCACATAACAGAGGCATAGTTCCACTTAATACAGTAGCATTTTTATGATTTAATAAAAATGTTTTTTAAGATCTTTCTCTTTGCATTTTATTTATCCCGTGCAGTGAAAACACTTGGATGTTACAGCAGTTCTTCATTGGTAAGAATGTATCTGAAACAGCTTTTTCAATAACCTCGCTGATGAGTTTGAATGTTGGAGATCGGTCTGCAATTCTGCAGTGGTGACTTGTCCAGATTGTTCTTTTTCAGCAGTGGTTTCATATCTGCCTTTTTTTTTTTTTATGCCTGTGGGAAAAACACCTAATAGTTGTTTCATGTTGTCCCATTAATATTGCAGACTGGCGTGATGGGAAACAAAATAAATGTTTTGTGGCAAATGCCTGTACATTTCAAACAGATTCCCTCCTGAGGAAGGTCGCTGAAAAGACAACTTCTACAATCTAAAAGGTTCTTCGAACAAGCCATTGAAACTTTTGACACGTCTGAGGCAAGAATTAAAAAACTATAAACCAAAAATGTGACAAAAAAATGAAGGAGAAACTAAAGTTCTGACTCATCGTTTGTGTAAATCTCATGTAGATCTTTGAATTTAAACAGCACATTTAGCAAGCTTCTGGCATAACTCTGCTTGGATATTTCAGAAACTGTTGAGCTCATTTCACTTGTTTGGTTTCTTTGCAGAGGGGAAGTTTAAATACTTTTAATGATGTTGAAGTTGGGGATTTCGGAAGACCATTCATACAGCTTAACGTTCATCTTTGCATAGCAGGAAACCAGTTTGATTTTTGTGATTGTCCTTTTGCCACAGAGCCTTATCGTGGTGCAAGTACCTTCATGTTTGACAACTGGTACAGTGTTCTTGGGCTTGAAATCACGCCGACTGTTACTGAGATTTTTGAAATGGCTCATTTTCCAGACACCCAACAACATTAACTTAGCGCCAGAAAATTGATGGTTGTTTTTTTTTTTTTTTTAAGCCTGTGAGACTCAGATGGAAGTACAGAAACGAGGAAATAGTCAATTTTGCATAATACATCCCCTTTAGTAGCGTCGCTCATAACAAGATTTATTGTAATCAGTACCTTTCATCAGAGTGATACTGGTGCTATTATTGTCAGTCTGCCCAGAGCTTTTCTGTTGCCGACCTCAGGAATTTATCTGCACAGACGAAAAAAAAAAAGAAGAAAAAAACTATTTCTATAGTACCAGTGATTATAGGTGAAGGCAGGTCTGATTTTCCAGCAACCCTCGTTTGCTCATGTATACAAGCTGAGCTCTTCATTGTAACGCGCATAACTTTGGTTTTCAGGGCATGACTTGTGCTGACAGTAACAGTAAGTGCTGAATGCTGCAGCAGCGCACTGAAGCAACATTAACACGGTGCATTAGCCTAGCTTTCTTATGACACACTTTCAGCTGAGGCAGCCAGTGTGAGCCAGATCCGAGCGCTTCGCTGCGAGCCGCACGGCCTCCCCGCTGCTCGCTCCTATCACTGTCGCCTGACTCTTCCAGTTAACGTGCTGCTGTTTTGTTTTGTCATAATGTCTAACTGCACTCTCAGACCCCAAGCCCCGCGTGCATAGCTTTCCTCCCCCCCCCCCGTCTTGTTTCTAAGTTTTACAAAAAGAATAGTCTGCTAGATCGATACCGAGCGAAGGCCGACTCTCTCTCACCCTTTCAGTATCGCAGCAGGTGCCTCTTTTGACCAAGTCGAAGTCTCACTGTGCAGCCAATGAGAGAGGAGTGGAGTCTTTCTACTCCACCTTTGTCCTTTGTCCTCACAATCAGAAACAGAAGAATACTCTTAGCAAGAGGCCTCCAAGTCAATCAGTCAGAGCTCTGTCTGTGGGTCATGGCCAGGTAAGGCATTTGATAAACCCTTGCATCGACGCCAAGTACAAGACCCTTAAAAGATGCATATTTTAGAATTTTGGGTCAAACATGGTTATAAGACCACAAAGAGTCCAGCACAAAATGTGCTCTGCCATAAGTAGCTCACATAAACCGCGGATCAAACGGTTTGCATTCCCTTTGCTCATTGTCCTGTTAGAAGTTGATTCTCCTTTTCAGTTTTCTTCCAATGTTTCCCAGTTACATTAGCTCCAGTGGTGTTTTCATGAAATGATTAATTTTCTTGACCCTGCTGACGAAAACAACCACAGACAGCCGTGCTCCACAGTGCACAGATTATTTTCCACCACACATAACGTTACGCATGCTGTCCTCATGTGCGTACACTTACTAGACGATTTCTATGGGCAAAGTTATCTTGACTGAATTGTTTTTTTTTGGGCATCAGAGTAAAGTTGGTGAAACTAAATGAATTAGTCTGTCAGACCGTTTATCTTTTTTTATACACTCCACCATTAAAAGACTGTTTTGCGTGAAAAGGTTCAAGGGGTGTGAATACTTCTGCGAGGCTCTGCATCCGATCAGTCGTTGCTGCTGAAAAACTGAAGCTTTGTTTAGCTTTGCCCTGCGAGTGCTACTTTCTTGCTCTACTTCCTGCTCTACTTCTTGTCCCCTATAAGTGAAGCTTTGCTCTGGCATACTTTGCTTCTTTAAATAGTCCATCACAGCTGGCAGATGTGCTTGCTGTTGAAACATTTGTTGTTGTTTTTTTGTGTGAAATCATATAAAACAGTCAATAATCAATGGGATTTCTGATTAATACAGATGGCAAGTACAACAGCAGTCAGACAGAGCTTTTATATTTGCTAACGCAACTCAACAAGTCCTTTGCGGATTGCTGCGAAATTTGGTGCAGACATTGATGGTTCCCATGGTTCTTGTGATGGGTGTCAAGGCAATTTTCTGAAGGTCTTGCCTTTTTGTCTGCGAATCGACCGCATTCTCATTCCGTCTTGCCCCCGTCTCAGACAGAAAAAACAAAAGAAAAAAACTTTTGGTTTAATCTCAGGAGATGGCCAAACCTCAGTGCAATCAAATTACCTGTACACTGAGTCGACTATTTTGAATCATTAATGTGCTTTGATAAAAATAAAAAAAATGCTTTTAAATGCAACCACAAACATGATTCATTTCTAATTTGAAATTCCTGTTACTACGAACAACTGTGACCGACGGTAGCATCGCTATAAACAGACCATCAGCTGGAGCTTGTTAATTTATAGTGAGTATTTTATGATCGGAAGAGCAGAAGAGAAGTGTCATAGGTTTACATATGCCTATCCTGTCATGGACATGAACGTCATTAATTATGTCGTTGAATGACAGATGCATACATTAATGTTTGGATGTGTAGCTTAGCAACATTTCTTTTTTTTTTTTTTTGCCACCAACCAGCTTCTAATTGTGATTGAATATTTGACCACTGTTCATGTTTGGCTTCCTAGCACAGAGTTAGACTTTAAGCATTCATTTCATTTGTGTATTCAGATCATTGTTGCGTTGAAACACCCAGTTGTTTCCAAGTTTTTAGCTGTTGGGTTGAAGGGAAACTGAACAATCAAGAAGATCGCCCCCCCCAGTTTTCCCACCACAGACAGTAAAACAGCTCCGCAGTATGATTTTGGCACCAGCACGCCGAACAGTTGACACTTTAACTTTTTTTTTTTTTTTTACCTCGACTCTGTCAAGCACAAATCTTGTCACTGTAACCAAATAGCTCCCTCTTTATCTTGGTGTCAAACTATTCTTTTTGTAAATGAATCAGCAATTTTCCACTGAGATAGGAAGAAGTTGATTTTCACTCGAT